AAAGTATGAAAACATGAGTCAACAGAAATTTTTTATGTAGCAGATATCAAAGAAACCAGCTTTCAGTCTATAATTACCTCACAAAATTATGATTGCTTTTTATTATAATTTGTTTTCTCCAACCCAGTAGTTCTAAAAGTGTGGTCACCGGACCAGGTGCATTAGCACCACCTGGGAACTTGTTAGAAATGTAAGCTTTTGGGTCCTTCACCAAACAACTGGATTTGAAACTCTGGGGCGGTAAACAGCAATCTGTAGTTTAACAAGTCCTCCAGGTGATTCTGAAGTGTGGCAAAATTTGAGATCCACTATTTTAACGTATGTTTTAAAGTTAAAATCATAAATTGTCTTTTCTCTGAGATTCTTTCTGAATTCACAAAATTCTAAGACAAAGAGGCACTGTTACTTCAAATCCACATTTTCAACGAATCTAGAACTCAACCAGCTGTTTTCCTATTTTTATACTCTTGAATTACTTTAGGCCTTTTAAAAAGCTAGAAAACCAAAACTGAATGTAAGCTCCCATAAATAATGCATTCTACAAAAGCCTTTGTTTTAAAACAAACTTTTCTACTTAAATATCCTAAGTCATTTACTCACATCTATTTTTTTTTTAAAGATTTTATTTATTTATTTGAGAGAGAGAGAGAGAGAGAGCATGAGAGGGGGGAGGGTCAGAGGGAGAACAGACTCCCTGCTGAGCAGGGAGCCCGATGCGGGACTCGATCCCGGGACTCCAGGATATGACCTGAGCCGAAGGCAGTCGCTTAACCAACTGAGCCACCCAGGCGCCCCAGCTCACATCTATTTTTTGCAACTGCACCCAACATTCCTTCCAACTTTACCAGAATAGATTTGCTTCTAATTTCAGCTACAAATTGTCATCCTCCAGTGAATATCTGTACACCTTTTAATTAGGTTCATCTAAATGGAATGGATTTTTAAAATAATTCCAGTTATAAATTTTAATTGTTTCATAAAGAGACTTAAGAAAGCAGCAGAATGAAAGCGGAAATGGTGTGGACTGAATCAGGACATCTGGGGCTGACGATATTGCCCAAAGATTCTGAGTTTTCGGGGGCTCAGTTCCCTTCTTTTGTAAAAGGGAGCTGAACAAGCCATTTCAAGTTTAAAGGTCTATTAATATGTGCTCTTACCCTTATGCTCTATGGTACTGTAGCTTTACAGTAATGTGACATGGCAAATTTTCTCGAAATGTTTTATCTTTTTTAATCATTCTAAATTGTCTTAAGAAACATGCCTCTCCGTAGGACTCAAGAACATCACTCACTATTACACTACTCCCTAGAGAGCTGAATAAGTAAAATATGAACACACACAAACTTTTAGTTGCAGAAGCACTTCAATGGTAGTATGATTTTAAGTCTCTTATTCTTTCTAAGATTGGTTTATTTATCTCCGAAACTATGGGGATGCATCGCATTAACCCCCAAAGGCAAAGATTCCACAATGTCAGAAATAACATGGACTTTGGAGGCAGAATGCCTGGCTTTGAATTCTGCACCTACCACTGAAGAATCTTTTGTGATCTTGGGCAAGTTATCTAAACGTTCTAAACCTTACTTTCCTATCAATCTTCTGTTAAGAGAGAATAATAATAGTATCTTCTTCATACAAATTAAATGAGCTAATTGACAAATAGTACTCAGCACAGACTGCAGCACAGAATACACACTCAGTAAGCATTAGGGATTTTTATTAATATTACTTGCTAAGTCAGCCCTCTACTCAGAAGTTATCAGAACAAATGTGCAATTCAATTTAGTAAATACACAAGGGTACACCTACTTGGTGCAAGGGACTTCACCACTCACTATAGAGGCAAGGGTTCTCGAACTTCTGAATGGACCAGAATTACTTGGGATGTTTGGTTAAAATGCTGATTCTTGGGCTCTGCTTCCAGAAACTCTGATTCTCTAATTTTTAAATAAGCTTCCCAGATGTTTCTAAGGCAGGCTGTTGAGGAATGCAGTTTAAGAAACATTTCTGCAGGAGGTTCAAAGAAAGAATCTCTTCCTTCAAGTTCCTACAATCTCTAAGCATTTTTTCTGTTCCAGAACTCACTGCCACTACCTGTTGCACCTGTTGGCTGTGTAACATGTGAGCCTAATATGGCCCTTCCATGCAGATTCCATTTGCCATCACTTAAGTTCCACTATCTCTGTGATGCAATGATACAACTCTTTACCTGGTATGTGGGATCTACTAATCCTCTAAACCCCGATCTGTGACTAATGAAAGTCCCTCATTATAAAGGCTATTCCTGATCTCTAAAAACAGAAGATTCATGAACCCTGACTGCTGAGCTATAAACCTGACCATGGCCTCATTTGTAGTCCTGGTGCTGGTCTCAGCCTTACGCTTCCAAAGCTGCTGCCAGTGTCAGCCCGTCCTCAGTACAGCGCCGTCACGGCCCATCCTCAGGACAGTGCCAGT